ATACAGCAGTGCATGATGGGAGAAGTGTCCAGGTTGTTAAGTCCCCCATGTAGTCCCCTACTGTACAACCCCTGTAATGTCAGTAGGGAAACCCCTTGCATGGGGAATCCCATAAATACCGTGACCTGTGAATAAAAGCTCAGTTGACTCCCAGCCTATGTGTCGTCTAGTTCTTGGGAAGAAAGGATTCTTATAACGCTACCGGGATTATTGTATGCTGTATTTATTTACCTGGATTAGTTTATGCTGTTCCTGTTACCCAGCGGAGATACCGTGGATTATACTACCTCTCCGCTACAACAACACCATCCTGATGGTTTCTAAAATGGCACACTTTGTTCCGCTTAAAAAGATTCCCTCTTCCCAAGAGCTGGCCCACATATTTATACGCGATTGCATGGTATTCTGCTAAATATTGTGTTCGATAGGGGTTCCCAGTTTGTGTCACGATTTTGGAGAGCATTTAACACAGTTGGGTATTGAACTATCGTTTTCGTCATCTTACCATTCCCAAACCAATGGTGCGGCTGAGAGAGCCAATCAATCATTGGAACAATATTTGAGATGTTTTATTAACGGCACTCAAGAAAACTGGTCTGATTTACTCCATTAGGCCGAATTCGCCAGAAATAATGCTACTTATGACTCATCTGGACAAAGCCCATTTTTGTTAACAACCGTCATCATCCTACTGTACTCCCTGAGGTATTCTCTGACACTGTTATTCCCGTTCTGGATGACCATCTCACATGCATACGTAAGATTTGGACTAAGGTCCACACTGCTTTGGAAACAACTGCTGCTCGTTTCAAAATGCATGCTGATAAGGTGTGGTGCCAACCCTGGTTACCAGGTGGGTGACAGGGTATGGCTCTCCACACGCAATATTCAACTCAAGGTTCCTGGCATGAAGTTTGCACCCAGGTTTATTGGGCCCTTTAAAATAAATCGCAGGATTAATCCTGTGTCTTCTTCTATGTTTCTCCCCGCCTCTCTGCATATACCTAACACTTCCCTCCTCCGTTAGATGCTCACCCAGTCTCCACTCCTTAAAAAAATCGTTAAAAACCCACTTCTTCAGAAAAGCGAATCAATTAAACTGTTACTAGCTCCCGACTGATTCCGCTCTTGGAACTGTCACTAGTCTAATACTACCCTTACCTTTTGTGTCACTATACCCCCACTCCCTCTAGCATGTAAGCTCATTGAGCAGGGCCCTCAACCCCTCTGTTACTGTGTGTCCAACTTGTTTGGTTCCAACTACATGTCTGTTCGTCCACCCACTGTAAAGCGCTGTGGAATTTGTTGGCGCTATATAAAATAATAACGTAATAATTATAGCACAATAATACGTTTCATCTATCCCTACTGAAGCCCATTATCTGCAACAGGTTTACCTCCCCTTCTGACCATCCCACCTTTGGTTGTCTCTGGACAGGAGGAGTACGAGGCCTCCTCTAAACTCAACTCCAGATTTTCTCGAGGGTCCCTGCAGTATTTGGTTGATTGGGTTATAGGCCTGCAGATCATTCTTGGGTTTCTGCTTCAGACATACATGCGGGCCGCAAGATCCATTCCTTCCATGCCAAATTTCCCCTCAAGTCGTGTTC